GCTCGCGAGACACCAGGTCCCCCGTGTAGCTGCGAGACAGGCTGCCGTTCCCGATGTGTCTGCCATCTCCACAAATGTGAGGTTGTCGCCAGCACACAGTAGGTTCAACAAGGATACCCTTCTTGGAAGATGGAACCGTACTCATCTTCATCAGGTACCGCACCGGCGACAACACAGAGTTCCGCGTCGTCGCGACGCCGACCACAGGTGACCTTCCCAGCTCATATACCGGATGTCACGCTCATGCCACCGACCTGTAAGTCCTGCCTTCGCATCATCCCATCTGGCTCGATGCTGATTTCGCCTCCCCCAGGTACTGCTTCTATGAAGGTGGTGCAGAGGTCCAGGTTGTCCTGGCCAGTGCTACCGTTGCGCCGGAAACGGAGGCATCCACCGCAGACGCGGCTCCGACTGTTTTGACGAGCTGTCACCCCCACGATGCCGCCGTCTACTGCATGCACGGCACCACCGAATACTCCATGGACACCACGGCAACGGCGACGCAGGACATCCCCGCCCAGTTCACCGACTGTCACTCTCACGGCACGGAGCTCTTCTGCGTCGACGAGGCTGGCGCCGATGTCCAGGCTGTGGCCGAGGGTCAAGAGGCCAGCGCCGACGAGAGTGCCAGCGGCGACCCGCAGGGTGAGAACTGCCACTTCCACGCCGGCGTCGAGCACTGCGTTGGCGCTGGTGAGAGCGAGAGCGGTGGCACACGATCCTGCGAGAGGGTCGACCGTGACTACGATATCCCCCTGCGTGTGGGCCTGCTCTTTGTCGTTCTCGTGACCAGCGCCATTGGTGTCTTTGGTCCCATTTTCCTCATGCGTGTGCTGCCGTCGAAGCTGCACGTCATCTTCCTCATCATCAAGCAGTTCGGCACCGGTGTCATCATCTCGACCGCCTTTGTCCACCTGTACACCCACGCGCAACTCATGTTTGCTAATCCCTGCCTGGGCTCGCTCGGCTTCGAGGGTACCACGTCCTCTATTGTCATGGCTGGCATCTTCCTCTCGTTCCTCGTCGAGTACACCGGCCAACGCATCGTCAAGAGGAAGCTGGCTGAGGGGCCGGACGCCAAATCCTGGTTCAGGCCAGAAACTGTGAGCATCATGGTGCTGGAGGCCGGAATTCTGTTCCACTCTATCCGTAGGTTGCTCGACGCCTAACAATCTTGCAGGACGTTTTACTGACATGGTGTAGTCATCGGTATCACCCTGGTCGTCACTGGTGACAGCTTCTTCCGTACGCTCTTCATCGTCATCATTTTCCACCAGATGTTTGAGGGCCTCGCCCTTGGTAGCCGCATTGCCGCTCTCGGCACTGTAGCCCCTGTGCACGCGGCCTCTGGCCATGGTCACGGCCATGGCCACGGTTCAACCCAGGTTGCCCAGACGAAGAGCGCCAGCGACACGGACCCTGCCATCACCCCCTCGGCCGACGCATCCGACCACTCGACGACTGACTCTCTCAAGCCCGCCCACTACTCTCTCAAGAAGAAGTGCCTTCTCGCTAGTGCCTTTGCCCTCATCACTCCCCTCGGCATGGCTATCGGCATCGCCGTCCTCGACTTTTTCAACGGCAATGACCCCGACACCATCATCGCCATTGGCACTCTCGACGCCCTGTCGGCTGGTATCCTTGTCTGGGTTGGCGTTGTCGAGATGTGGGCCGAGGACTGGATGTACCCCAACTCGGAGCTCATGAACTCGAGCCCCATTGTCACGGCTCTTTCCTTGTTCGGTCTCATGGCTGGCATGGCGCTCATGAGCTTCCTCGGCAAGTGGGCTTAGACGGCATGACAACGTCTGTATTCACGCGTCCCGCCTTTGTACGGCCCGAACGCATCAAAAAGATGGGGAGGATGAACTGGGAAGAATGGATTCTTGTGATTTGAATATCCGGTAATGACTCATATAGATGGCGGTCCAAGGGCCGCAACAATACCACTTGCATGGAATGATGCCGTTTTTTTCACCAGTCTGGCCTTGCTGTCTCTTTGCACCTGATGCTACCGAGTGATGCTACCGTGACGGAAATCGTCACACCTGGTCAGATAGGGTACGCTCCTTATTTTGATGCATGGACTGGGTGTACACATAGGATATGCTACCAGGGCCATCTTGCAAAAGTGATCCAGCACAACAACAAAGACCAAGCGAATCGACGCTATCATGTCTGCCTGACACATGATGATTGGCAACGAACAGCAGTTTCTCACATCTGGGCCGGCAAGGCATGCTGCTCGCCAGAAGACAATTTATCCCAATTTTGTAATTGAGGCCTTCGCAGAGAAGGTGTGAGAATTCCTCCTGCGAATCCCCTTAGTCCATCCTGACAGGAGGATGAGAATGAAGTACCAAACAGGGTGCTCCTTTGCGTTTATATCAAGCGGCCATGCATAGGTGGTCAGGGGTTAGTTTGATGGCTTCCACCCACCCTCGGCCTCAAAGATCTCACCGACCTGTTTGCTTACCCTGAGAAGATGCCTGTCGCGATACCTCGGGGCTACAAGCGACACGCCGACGGGCATTCCACGTTCACCCTTGAATCCAGGGACATTGACAACCGGCGTATGCAGGGCCTGGCATTCCAGTCAGAGACAGAGAGGCGGCTGCGCGAAGCGAAGCATACATACCGTCCAGATGACATTGAAAGCCGCGTTTCCTGTCCATTCGATGCCCTCGGGCGCTTCATCCGGCACACTCGGCACCAGGACGGCCGCATACTTGCCCAGCATGGCATCAAACCACCGGGCCTCGCCGCGCGATGCTGTCAAAAGCCTTGAGATGCTCGGCACGCGAAAGTTTTGCCTCTGTTCTCGACGTGTCCGATGAGGAGATCAGCAATGCTATCTTGCCGGCGCGATACTCTGACAGAAACGCCGCTCGACCTTCGGCGTCCAGCACCGTGGCGTGCCACTTGGGCAGATCCGCCAGGCTCTCGGGGAACGAGATCTCCTCGACATCGGCGCCCTGCGCCCTCAGCAGCTCGACGGCACGCTCCAACGCCCCGACGGTCCCCGGCCCCGCATGCGGCCAGACCATGGTCTTGCAGACGGCAAACCTGGCACCCTGGACCCGAAACTCCGTCGCTGCCGTCGTCGTTTCGTTGTCGTCGTCGTCCTCGAGCGAAAAGACGTGGGCCATGAGCTCGAGGTCGGCCACACCCCGCGCAAACACGG